TCAGATGTAGTGTTTATGTTATTTTATTTAGGGGATGGATGTGCTTGGAAGAAATAAAAGGAATTAGATGTTATTAAAGAAAAAATTATGCTTTAAACTCTTTGTTATGTATGTATGTAGGACACGGTTGTGGATCTCGTAACAATTTTTCTAAGCTGCAGAAAGGTGTGCAAAAAAAGAAAAAAAGCACACGCTCAGGTTCACCGCTGTAAATTCTAGTTTTACAAAGGTCAAAAAAATTTTCTTTGGCGATCTTTCAAAAATCAAGCCTGTTGATGCTGTATTTGTCACGAGGTTATAATTTTCTTTGTAATATGAGACATCTTTGGTGCTAAACCTTTGAAATAAAGTCCCGAATTTTCAGAAAAAAGGCGGGCTAAACTCATTGGAATATAAATGTTTTAAGACCTACGAGTGAATTCGGATAGGAATTTGGGCAGCTTTTTTTGTTTAGAAACTTGTGTTCAGTATTAAGCTAAAGTCAAGCACAATATTCGTATTTGAAGGAAAAAGCCTCACATTTTTTCATGCAACTCACCTTTAAAAGGCATTCTTATTGAAAGTATTCCAAAACTTTGTGGATTGAAATACTCAAATGAATAGAGATACACACGATTTCCCAATTGTGTCATCTTTTCTGCATAGTTGTACGTGCCATTATTTACAAAGAGATCGCTGTATAACTGAAAGATTATATTCAATATAGAAAACTCAAAGCATCACAACCAAGGCATACCTTTACGTATGCTTTGGCCACTTCCAATTTATCATCGAGATTCACACCAGATAGATACAATTCTCGTGCCTGCTTTCGTAGTTCTTCGTAATTTGCGTGATTTTCAGGTGTTATGACAATAGACAGCAATTTTTCAAATCCTTTCATATTGAAATTACCCGGAGATAGTGTTGCTGGAAGAACTAATGCTTAACGAAAGAGGATTTCTCTTAAGAAATTGAATATTTATGCAAACTTTGGGTACTGAAAATAGAATTATGTTTAGTATAAGCAGCGTTTTGTATGACAAGTGTACGTCGATCAATGATATAAGTATATAGATATAGTTTTTTGTAGTATATCTGGGACCAAATGTGGAGGTTTGAACTGTTTTTAAAAACGGCAGAATTTAGGAATACTTAAGAAAATCGAAAACATAACTGTGTTGTAAATTTTCCTCGTATAACTGTAAACAGGTAACTGCAAATTACTAGGTATAACAGTGACCCTTGATTCAAAGCTCACCAAAAAGGAGGCCCTCGTGTTGGCAGGTGCCAACAAGACATCTCTTCTTGGGCGCTTCAGCTCGCAGCTCGTCAATGCTTTTGGGAAGAAAGTCATCAGGTGATGTGCCGATTGCCGGGGCCAGGTCGAGGCCAATTTTTGAAACATCCATCCCCTTTAAATCACAGTATTGAATCCTTCCTGACAAAGAATAGGTTTCCATATACCTTCGCAGTGATGAGACGTTTTTCAAACTCCTTCACTTTCCGATGTCTGAGAAAATCAAGCATGTCTTCGCTTGAATGGGTGTCTAAACTGGTGGATAAACAAAGCTTCGATATGACCTCTCCGATCTACCGTAATTTTCACCTTGCCATCCCCGCCTTCGTGCAAACTCTTTGCAAGAGTCAACTAGCCGTGAATGGTTCACAGTACTCCACGTACACTCAGCATTTCCTGCCATTGGCACCACTTGTTGAAACAAATCTAAGGGAGTTTGCTTAGAGGAAAGTAAAAGTTTTTTTGCTGAGCAATCTGTACCTCTGGAATGGGGACTTAGAGCCAGTAAATCAACGCTAGCTCCTCCGGCACTTTGTCCAAACACAGTTACTTTGTTGGGATTTCCACCAAAGGCTTTTATGTTATCCTAAATAGGAATGACTAAAGTTAATGACTAAAAGGATTATTAGTGGATGATCACACAAAATTTCTACTCAAAACTTTGCTGGCGAATTCTCCAAACTCACATGAACCCACTGCAATGCCATAGTCATGTCCCATAAGCCGAGATTTCCAGGACAAACATCATCTCCTGTTGAGAAAAATCCCAATAGCCCCAAGCGATATTGTATGGTAACCACAACAACATTATGTCGGCAGAGATACCTGGAAAAAAGACTTTGCCCATACAATTAAAACCACTGAAATTGGAGAACACTTACTTTGCAATGCCTTTGTCACCATATTTGACGGCAGAATCTATCAAGTAACCACCACCATGGACATAGACCATCACGCTGTGACCTGCCTTTAAATGTATTGAAATGGTTAGCAGTTTAACGGTAATGATGAGGGTGTCATCTCCCAAACCGCTATAACCACGTAATTCATTGTATCTATTTTATATTTATGTATCTTTTCTTCTTTACATTTGGTCGCACAGGCTAAGATTTCGGACCTAGGCTAGCGGATCCACATTGTCATTCTTAGTAAAATTAAATCTGCACTTCAATTTTTTTGAGTGAATTGCAGAAATCTACTTGTACATCCCTTTCAAAGTTCACTTATTATAACAATCATTTAGGATGAACTGCTGATGCCAATTAAAACCACAAGAAAAGTTCGCTTCAGGACCACAAGGTTTCAAAGACGACTTTTGGGAGCCAACGATGACAAAGCTTTTTTCTACCCTTGTAATGTAGGCCACTTTCAGTATCGTGATATTCACTAATTGAAAGTAGAAAATATAAGATTGGAAGACATCTTTTTAGCGCACTAACATGCATGTAATTAAGTAGATTTTGTCGTTTGCCTCCACCCACGGCGCGCTTACCTTGAAGAACTTACGCCACCAGAGCGCTTTCCTAGCTTTCCTAAAGTATTTTCTCCATACCATCCCCAGTGGTTAGTTCTTTTGTTTAGAAATTATTCAGTAGAATCTGAATTTGCTCAAATTCTACATGAAGGTATTATTACGCTTGCATGGCCGAACGAAAATAGCCATAAAGTAG